AAATAGATACTATGGCAAATTATTTGAATAATTCAGATCCTTGTGTTTTTAAAGTGTTCATTGTCCATCTAACCCAGTATACTCTAAATAGCAGTTGCTGACCTGGGCCTGTAGCTGAGGGTTTATTTAAGTCAGTGTTTCTCAAACTGTGCTCCTCCAGGTGTTTTGGACTTCAGCTCCCAGAAATCCCAGCCAGTTTACCAGCTGTTAGGAATTGTGGCAGCTGAAGTCCAAAACATCTGGAGGAGCATGGTTTGAGGAACTCTGCTTTAAGTGACAATATATGGGTGGATTATTTAGACTTGGGTCTCTTGATCTTGAATTCATACTGAAGGCTGTTGGATCATCTGAACATATAGCTAGTCCTTATGAAAAGGAAAGAGCACAAGAAACAGAACCAACGAGATCTTAACGCTTTAAGATTATCTGCTCTCAGGATGGCTTGTTTAGGCCAGGAGTCCTCAAACCTTTTAGACAGAGGGCCAGGTCACAGTCCCTCAAACTGTTGGAGGGGCGGATTATAATGTGGAAAAAAAAATGAATGAATTCCTATGCACACTGCACATATCTTGTATGTAGTGCAAAAACACTTAAAACAATACAATAATTAAAATGATGAACAATTTTAACAAATATAAACTTATTAGTATTTCAATGGGAAGTGTGGGTCTGCTTTTGGTTGATGAGATAGGATTGTTGTTGTTGTGTGCTTTCAAGTAGTTTCAGAGTTAGGTTAACCCTGAGCGAGGGCTGGATAAATAACCTCAGAGGGCCGTATTCGCCCCCCGGGCCTTAGTTTGAGGACCCCTGGTTTAGGCTATGAACAGCCATGTCATCCCAACATTTCATCAATGTTTTGGTCCCATAAATCCTTGGCCCACTGCCTAGAGTCTGAAAAGTGTAACTAGAGAGGGCAAACTTCTAAAAAAAATGTTGTCTAAACTGTGATTTCTAACATTAAAATCATGCTGAACACAGAACCTTTTTCCCCCCACAGCCTCAATAAACAAAACAATTACATTCATTTTCTCGCTAGGAAGGTCACTGTCATTTCTAACTATTTGGATCACAATATTCAAGTGGTTAAGACTGTAACAGTATGGATGCTACCACTAGAAAGGAGAATTCATTTTGGGGTTTTTTCAATAAGAGATTGACTGAGGATATGATAAACACTTCAATGAGGTCAATGGAAAAAATATAATATTTTGATCTGCATCTATTTATATTTGGTATGTGAATGGTTCTAGCTGTAGGTTTCGAAGGCGCAACATGTTGTAAATCAGCCAGTGGGTAAGTCTATATCTAACCAGGATATAACCCATTGCATCCCCTTTTCAACACATAGTCTCCTTTCCTCATAAAGAAAATAAGTATCAATACAGAGGAGAGCAGAAATATTCAGAACATTAGCACAAATGTTTTTCATTAAAACTCAATCAACACCACAGCCAGGCTACCAACTGGGACTAAGATCTGACTGATCAGAGAGTGTCACTACTTTCAACTCTGAGAACTAAAAAAGCACAGAGAAAGACTCAATAAAAACACTCTATATATGTTGTAATATTAAACACATGTGATAAACAGAACTTAGGCACACATTTTTTTATTTTTATTAATGGAAGGTTACAGAAAAGGTTGCAGATGACTTAGGAAGGGAAATCAATATGTTTGTGGGTAGAAATCTACCCGGGTTCTGAACATATCCCATGCCTACTTTGCTCCACCTTCACTATTTTATTACTAGACTTTTTTTTTTTTTGAATGACCATTATATTACATAATAGGATTGGGCTTTTGTTGGGGGCCCCCAATCCATTTTTGTGAGTCTCCCAAAATTGGGAGGGTTGTTTTTGGTTCTTTCGGTTCCCCCCCCCCCCCCCAATGAACCATTATTGGGGGAGGGGGTTCCCACCCACTGACTCCCCTTCCCAGTGTGTGTTCTCCTCTCTTGACATCTGCTATTTCTACTCTACTATTCTTCCACTCCTTGGAAAGAGTGTGTGTGTGGCAGGGCATGCACGAAGGCCCAGAAAGCATGCGTGCCTCCCAGTGCCTGCAACTGAACGCCTCTTACTCTAGGTGTGCTCCGGGCCTGCCTGCACACCTTGGCACATACACTCCGCCACACTCTATAAGAATGTTTGTGTGCTGGGGCATGCATGCAGGTCTGGAGTGTGCCTGTAGCCAAACTCCGGGTGTGCCTGCATGCCCTACCACAAACACACTCTCCTGCCAAGGCAAGGAGGTAAGTTCGGAAAGCAGGCTTTCATGTCAATCAGATTTTTGTGTTGAGCACAATGGAAGACAAGAAAAAAACATTAGGAACAAATTCTGTGCACAACTCTAGTAAACAGTAAGCACAGATGATGGGTATGCAAAAGGGGGCCTTCTCAGTGGTGCCCCCTACACTGTGATACTTCCCTTGCTGGCCTTTCATTGGCAGTCTAAAACCTTTACATGGAGACATGCTTTTATTCTTTTATATGTTTAGATTGCTTTTTATTCTTTTATTCAGGTGTGAATAATTTTAATATTGTTAACTGTTTAAGTCTAATATTTACCTTTTGTATGTTTTAACTGTATTATTCTATCAAATTGTGACTGAAAGCAAGCTATAGGTGAGGAAGGATGAGGATTTCACTTCTCTTTTTAGATTCTTGCTTCTGCTATGTCACATCAATAAGTTAGTCATAAACACAAGCCATCTTTATTAGTTATTTTTCCATCTCTGCTTTAAATGAAAAAAGGAAAATCTAAATACACAAATGGATTCGTTTGATGAGACTATTCTACAGCAGGTCACGACTGAATTGCTCCATTCTTAATACTGAGCTCAACTGACTAGTTTTTCAGCTTTCAGGATGACTGGTTTCAAGTGAGAAGCTTTTTAAAAAACATAGCCCCTGGGTAGACTTATTTACCATGAATGACTCACACACCATCCATATGACTCCTACTACCACCACGTCTCCCAGATACTGGCAAAGTTACTGGGAGCAATTTCCCTCCAAGGTGTGAGCTTTACTTGAAGAGCTTCTTCTTTATAGTAAGCAGCACAAATGCGCTTTTCTTCAGCGTTAAACATGAATTACATATTGATCAAACATCTTTCATGTGGGCTGTGTAAGGAAAATCCCACCTAGCATTTCCTTTCTGGTTTTTCATGTTGGTCTGTAGGGGCAAACTAAAGAAACATTACCGGTACTGAGTTAGTTGGAATCCCATACTACTGAAGCTGAGTGAATGTGCAAACTTGGTACTTCAAATCCTGATTCAACCACAATCTCACTAGGTGGTCTTAGGCAAGACAGTAATCTTTCCAATTCAGTGGTCACCTGCAAAATGGGTATTTCATTTGTGTTCATCCAAGAAGCCCAGGATTGGCATATGGGCTCTCTTCACCACTACCACTTTTGGTCTTTCAACAATCCTGAACGAAAGCAACCAATCTGGGCCACCTACATAGGATTAATGGCTGAATGAGAATTTGACCCTGGTTTCCCAGGATGAACACTATCACTCACTACCATACAAAGCTTACTTAGCTATAGACTCACAGGAGAAAGGTCTCAAAAGATGCAGCCAAAAGAACCCAGCTTGGTCCAGAGAGACATATCCAGAAAGAAAATAATCCACACTGACAATGTCATAATAATCCAACTACTTAATCAACAAGGTGGCACTTAAAACATCCTTCTTACTGACCTTATAGACTTGTCTCTATAATGGTCAATTCTACTACACCCCAATCACAGAAAACATGGGAGTTGTGAGTACTATCCCAGAGCAGAATTGGGTGTTTTAAGTTAAATATGCATTTCTCAATGATGAAAAGTCATCCTGCTGGAGTGATATCTTTCATGGGAAACTATACCAACATGAAATGAGTCCCAGGCATCATGATGAACAAAGTTCCATCAGAAACCGTCCAACCAATCTGTAATCCCCATACCAATCAGCACATAACATATTGTGTCCGAAAATGGAGCAAGTTCCATTGCATATGCAGCAGAAAGATCAAGATATCTGAGCAGGCAAGTCAAAATATAGTATGTATGGGAAAATAAAGTTGTCTCCAATGACAACAGCAACTGAGTGATCAGGTTGGCAAACATCACAAAAACGTAAGCGGGAAAGTGTTCAAAACTCTTCGTTGATATTAGAGTGAGCTCGTCATGAGTGTTTTGACCAAAATTTGACCAAAGCACACTATGACAGCCAATACCTTACTTTTATTTCTGGTAGCACTGGATGACACAGAAGAAATATTTTTTTACACCAATGACACATGAAGGAATGATGAACCATTAGGCTCAACTCCCTTTTTTTGGATCCAAGCTTCCAAATATATTCCTTCCTTTGGAGATTTAAAAAATTGAGCTCCAAATTGCTCATGCTCGCATTTACAAAATGAAAAACGTTTAAGATTGTTGCTACAGCCTTCCAAACACTGGTTTATTTGTAATTTGAGAAAGTACAATGTAAAAACAACAAATCTACAAATAACACTATGTAACACAGTTTTTTTCCTGGGTTATAAATGCAATTTCCTAATTGCTTCCATCATAAAAAAACATGGATAATATTTATTAAACTGCAAAAAACTTTGTTTATACGGAGCATCTTTCAGCACATTTTGCGATAGTTTTTCACTGAATATCTCACAGAATATCAACCAATTCAATATAGTTTGTGGCAGCCCCCAAAACAAAGTTTCTGGAGTATAGCAACTACTTTCAAAGTAAGAACCCCACAGTTAAACAGGAAATAGCACTTTCAAACCAGGAACAGAAATATTTTCAAATTTTGTTACATAGTATAGTTTTGTTACATGGCCAGAAACATGACACAGGGAAAAGATAATCTCCATATTAAACAAAAATGTACCAACAATAATAACAATAATCTTTATTTGTATACCACCCTATCTCCCCAAGGGGAATCAGGGCAGCTTCCAACATATACACACATACACCCTTTTAAGTATTTCTTACCTTGAATGCACTGAAGAGTTCCATCTTCAGCCCTTATTGTAAAAGTTTCACCTGGATTGACTTGAACAAAAATGACCTGCCAAAACAAAAAGGAAAGGAAAAACTTGTTCATTAAAAGATGTGCTTGTGGGTCAGTCTCTAAAATACAGACTTGACATATAGTATTATTGAAAAAGAATAAATGTATTGATCTGCAATAACCAAGAAAATGCCAGCTATAATATTGACACTAAGTTACATTTTAGGTTTGTTTAAATCTGGGAAATAATTATATAAACTGATTTCTTTTTAGAGTCCCAAGGATTTGGAAAAGACATTTCAAACACCAGGATTTTGATTACAAGAAATTTGAAAATCACACTTAAGCCTCTTCAAAGACATAGCTATTAAAAAGCATGTTTTTATCAGAGTTTAGAAACAGAGAGATGCCAGCATGACCATATATAACTGCATCAACGAGTCTCCAAGAGAGAGGGCCTTATTAGTAGTGAACTGAATTGTGATTTTTTTCTACCCTGGGATGTTAGCATTGTGGTTATTTTATAATGTCCTCAGTGCCAACGAAATACGATTTTGTATGCAATTTTAATCCTGCTGTCTAATGCTACTTTTGTAATGTGTGGGCTTTCAACTTGTTCTGTATTTCTTTACCTATTTATACCTTAACTGCTACTCCCTTTATACCTGAGTGTAATGAGTATTAAGATAGCACAGCTGCCAGGCTACAAACTGGTGCAGGCTCTTAATGGTTGTGTAGAAGAGGGAATTTCAGCAGGTGTTGCTTATCTTGCAGCCAGGTAACAAACAGCACCTGCTGAATTCCCTCTTCTGCACAACACGAACAGGAGTCCTCTCCAGTTTGTCATTTAGCAATGCTAAAAGAGAGCCAGTGAGGAGCCAAACCCTGTGTGGAAGGAAGGAGAGCACAGGTGAAGGAAAATTGTGCTTGGCAGGGATGCATTTGGTTTGTTAGAAGCTCATTAATATAAAGGACACTGCAGCTACAATTGTTTATTTTCTGGAGAGTAAGGAGTATAATCAGATCCCTACAATACCTTGGGGGCTATTTAATCAAACGATCATTGTAACCATGCTCATAACATTCTCTATCAGGTATGGGCAAACCCAGGCCCTCCTCTTACCATCCTATTCTATTCTATCCTATCCTTCCTTCCTTCACTCTTTCCTTCCTCCCTCTTTCTCCCATCCCTTCCGCGCTTTGGTTCTTCCCTCTTTTCTCTCTCCTTCCCTCTCTCACTTTCTCCTTCCTGCCTTCCTCCCCTTGTGTCTTTCCTTCCTTCTCTTTTCTCCCTTCCTTCCCTCCATTCCCTTCCACATTTTCTTCCTTCCTTCCATCCTTCTCCCTCTCCCTTTCATCCCTCCTTCTCTTTTTCCTTCCTCCTTACCTTCCTTCCATCCATCCTTCCTTTCCACCCTTTTGTCCTTCCTTCTCTTTTGTCTTTCCTATCTTCTCTTTCTTCCTTCCCTCCCTCCCTTCCTTACCTCCCTCTTTCTCCTACCCTCCCATCCCTTCCACCTTCTTGTCCTTCCTTCCCTCTTTTCTCTCTCCTTCCCTCTCCCCCTTTCTCTTCCTGCCTTCCTTCCCTTTTGTCTTTCCTTCCTTCTTTCCTCGCTTCCTTTCCTCTATTCCCTCCCACGCTTCCTTCCTTCCTTCTGTCCATCCATCCATCCATCTCAGCCAACCTTTCTTCCCTCCTTCTCTTTTTCCTTCCTCCTTCCCTTCCACCCTTTCATCCTTCCTTCCCTTTTGTCTTTCCTTTCTTCTCTCTTTCCTTCCTCCTTAACTTACTCTCATTCTCTCTTTCTCCTTCAATCCTTCATTCCTCCCTTTCATTCTTCCTTTCTTCCTTCTCTCTTTCCTTACCTTCCTTTCTCCCATCACCCGGCAGCTAGTCCTCTTAGCAGGGAGTGCTAACATGAAGCACCCAAGTTAGAAAGTTTTCCCATGCCTGCTCTATATAGTCAGCCCTTGGGAGTTAAAGGCACAGGACACCTATGAAAGTGGGAAAACCTCAGATAAATCCTATTTTTAATCTAATATCTCTCTAGTGGAAGTTGGCTATAGAGGTGCAGTGGAGCATTTGGGGATTCCTAAAGGGACCACATTAATCTCTTATGGAGCCTCCACCACACTCCAGAGAGTTTCAGGCTCCTTCTTTGGAGGCTTTTAAACACATGGCCATCTGTCAGGGGTGCTTTGAATGTGATTTTCCTGCTTATTAGCAGGAGGTTGGACTGGATGGCCCACAAGACCTCTTCCAACTCTATATTCCTTGATTCTAATCAAACTTGCAAATATGGAAGGTTGACTGTACTGAGTATCAGAGCCAGAAAGAACAGTGTTTTTACATAAACTGAGAGGAAGTGGATTCAATCGATATCCTGGTGGCAGCAAAATCCAACAATGAGTATGAAGATCTAAAGTAGGATTGCCACAAATGGTAAATCAGCAGTTTGATCACAACAATGTTCCAGGCATAGAAGCTCAGCTCATTTTGGTGCCAAGTTAAGACCTGTTTCTTTACTCAGGCATTGGGGTATCAGCTTTTTTATTCATTTCTTTGGGTTTCTAAAGGCAATTTCTCACTGATACGGTTTATCAATTCTTCATTCTTCAATGGAAATTAATGAAACAGGTCAACTCAAACATTTTTTTTTCTAATAAATGATATATGCAGCAGTTCACTAGCCATCTATGCCACTTCAGTAGACTACCTATATTGGAAGAAACTGTGGTTTGTCTCCTCACAAATTCCAGCACATAATGTTTTGTGCCTAGATGGGAAGGGGTGATCTCATGCAAAAATTTTACTCTTCTGAGAATCCCCATCAGTACTCAAGTAACTCAGTGAACATGGGGAAAACTTGCCAGTGGATGGTGTGCAGATGTCTAAAAAATATCACCAAATGTTTTAGCACATTATAAGGCAAATTGAGCTATACCACCGGATAGCTCATATATAAACAATGAAGTCATATTGTTCATATATGAGCAATTATTGGTGAAAGTTAGTATACTGAAGGAACATCTACAGAAACTCTTAACATGCATGAATCCATTTCATGATGCTCGAAACATCCTTTGGTTTATGGTTTTACTTGAAGATGTTATCACTAGAAAATGGAATGTGGAAGGCGGCTGCATGCTAAACAAAAAAGCTCATGATGTGCTCATGATGGCAAAATAAATTCATTCCACACACACTCTCTCACACACACACATACTGCATTTTGATATAGCAATGATAGAAACCTATATAAACAATCATGTCCCATTCCACCTCCCCCCCCCCCTTTTTTTTATTTTTCCTTTCCCCAAAAAGCGGTTTCAAAAGACATGGCATCTTTCTCAAGCATGAACTTCCAAATACCAATGGAGAAAGCTATTTATAGTAGCTGTTTACATTATACAATTTAACAAGCAGCCTTATTCTGATCACAGCGAGAGGCTGTCTACATTTATTTTAGGCAGTGTTCAAAAGGGGCATTTCCGAATGGCAGAAAGTTTCCTCAGTTCAGCACAGAGGACCCTGCAGAACTGCATGTTGCATAGCACAGGCGAATCTTAAAAAATTAATATAAATACTGTACTGTACTTGGAGGTATTTCTGACAAAAATGAGCGCAGACACCCCGTGATAATGCGGCATGTCTCATTAAGAGCTACATCCACTGTTTCAGCGTGGTGAGATGTGTTCCACACTGGGCATGCATACTCAGCAGCAGAGTAGCATAGCGCAAGGGCGGATGTCTTCACTGTATCTGGTTGTGATCCCCAGGTTGAGAGTAACGAATGAGGATGTACAGACAGAAATATGTGTGATTTCCATCAAACAGGACCATTCCAGTGGCCTGCAGGAGGCAATTGTTTTCTATTTCGCAAATGCAATGATTGCTATTTATTTTTGTGGGGAAAGGGAAACTTATGGAGAAGTAACAGCATCCAGTTGCCCTAGGTTTAATTCCTGGCACCTTCCTTTAAAAAAAAAAGAAACAATGTAGCCTTCCAGATGCTGTTTGTTTGACTGCAATTCCTAGAGTCCCTATTCATCATAACCAATGGAGACAAATGATGAGAGTTGCAGTACAGCAAAATTTAAAGGGCAATATGATTTTGGGCTTTAAAAGATCTGGGAGCAGGACTCAGGGAAAATCTGTTCTCTACCCTGAGCACCTGGACTGTAATCTGAAAAATGGACATCACATCCTTCTACAAGAATTGCATACACACTTGCTGCATTTTCCTCTTTGGGTCCTTATCATGGAAAAATCTACATTCCAATGGATTAAAATACAGGTTTTCATGCTCCCTTCTCAACAGACAGAGTAAGAAGAGGACCATCAATATGGCAGAGTACCTGAAAACAAAGTCCTATGAGGAATGGTTAAAGGAGCTGGATATGTTAACTGGGGCAGTTAAAGGGACCACACAACACCTATGCTTCAACAGCTCCATTGGCTACCAGTCTATTTCTGGTCCCAATCCAAGGTGCTTAATATGGCCAAAATCTAGGCCTAAACTCTGAGATCACCTCTCTCAGTCCCAGTGCCATCACTGGGACTGAGGATGGAAAAGAGAGCCTTCTCTGTGGTGCTGGAACTCCATTCCCAAGGTGGCTAGAATGCCCCCCTTCTTGTTTTTCTTCTGCCACCAAGCAAAAAAAGATGTTTAATCCTATTTAATGATTACCTTTTGTATGTTTTACTTATGTTATATTTGTTTTAGTTTACAAACTACATTGAATTACATTTTGGAAGAAAAAGTTGGGTACACATTAAGACTAATAATAACCGTTATATTAATAATATCATTATATTTGGTCTTAATGTAAACATGGAGTGAGTTGTGCCCTAGGCTGCTAATCCAATATATTCGTAATATAAGAAAGGAAATTTTGATTAGGAAGAATTTCACAACAGTGAGAATTGTTTGACATTTTAGGAGATTCTTTTTTTAAAGTGATGGACTCTCCTTTCTTAAAGAGAGGTTGCATGCCCACCCCTGTGTTTTCCTTCAGCTGCAGATGGTTAGAGCAGGCAAACCTTAAGTAAACAA